TTTTCAGAACTATTTCAGTTTGTGTAGAACAGGACTATCAATGCTTTCTGAACATATGCAACACCGTTTAAAAAATACCGCGATAATACCGAAAACCGTGATCATTTTGGTCACAATAACCGTGAGGTTACATTTTCATACCGTGACAACCCTAATCTCAACAAAGATGACAATATAGAAACTTTGCTAACAAAATTCGAGACAAAGATGGAGCTTATGAATTATATTCTCACTTCGACTCGATATCTAAAGACAGAGCAATGTCAGTGGTGGACTAAATTGTAGAGTTTGAACAAAGACACAACCGTATAAAGAAGTATGACATGACTCTACCTGACACTGTACTAGTGTTCAAGCTCCTGGACACAGCTTGTCTCATGGAGAGGAACAGACAGCTAGCACTTACGGCATGCACAGATCTGACATTTTCACCAATGACATTCAAATGGAAGCGGATTTTCAGAGGAAAATCCACCGAGACAAGCATTGGCTGCAATACTCAAAGTGCAGTTTTCTACACGGAACAAAAATCAACGAACAAGTTCAGATGAAGTAATGGCCCACCACAGGGTGGAACATGACAGCCACAACAAGGTACAAACCCTCCAGATAGATACGGGAAGTGCCTACCGTTGGGCTAAAGACTGTGTGCCACAGATATGTGATGATTTATTTTCTTTATTTTCCTCAAGAATAAGTTTCAATGATTACAAAAGCACTTCAATGCAGGTAAATTAGCCATTGCATTGATTCTAAAATGCTGCAGTGTGTGTGTGTGTGCGCACACTCACGTGAGTGTTGTGAGCTGGCGTTAGGATTTTGCACCACTTAGATGTAGCCATCTTTACGCCTACTCCACACAGGAAGCAAAAGCGGCACGGAACGGCATTGGAAAGGTTTACTCGACCACAAAATCCCTCGAGACTTCCGCAAACCTCTTTGCCAGATTACACGATCCCTTGAGATTTCAAAGGTGTTAACTATGTTAACTGCAGTAATTGATGCATCCCAGAGATGGCTCGCGAAAAAATAGAACCCGATCCTATCTTTAATGGCGAGGCACTTCTGGGACACGCCTGGAAATGTTGCTTCCAGTGTGCAGTAGGGGTAATGCTGACAAAAATGTAACTAAGTAACTTTTTATTTTGAGTACATTCTTTCCACCTCTGTCAGAGGGACAGGTAGTGCCCCAGGTCAGCTGTGGCTACAATGTAGCTCATCATGTGTGAATGGGTGGATGACTGTGTTGTAGAACCCTAGAAGGCACTATACAAATATAGACCATTTACCATTTTTACCATAAAAATACCACATGATATATTAGTTAGCATACTAAACTGTTATGTAGGAAATGTATGTTGGTAATTATGGCAGAAAAGACGCCAGCAACAGGCCAAAACCCTAAAGGTGTGGCTCACTCATTTAATCAACACATCTGAGGTCCCAAGTAGGAATGAATGCCAAGTAAGTTGTACTCTGGGTTCAAAAAGCCCTGGTGTCCCCATTTAAGGATCTACAAGGGAGGGAGTTCGCTTCCGGTCGGCAACAAGATGGTGCCTGTGCTTGGCTTAGCCGCGGTCACCGGCCACTTTTTCAAACTTTTCTCCACTAACCTCCTCTTTTCCACCTTGCTCCTGTCTGCGATCCTCTTCAGTAGTGTCCCAGCTACCATCTCCTAGGATCGCCAGACTCTTTTGTCCTTCCGTTCGTTCACGATCGCCCTAAATGCACCGAGGACGTACCATCCTGTTTGTTTACCTGAGTGGCGCGCTGGCCCGGAGCCAAACGACGGTCCCGACCTGCACGCCCCCAGCGATGTTTATCTGGTCCCGGGAAAACGTCGGAGGAAAAGAGGTAAACAAGCAGGAATCCAGGTGAGAATAAGACTTCTCTTAAAGCGTAGTTTATCTAGTAAACATCGGCGTGATCTTCCAGCTTCTCTTCCTTTGTTTGGTGACCTGAGCGCCACTTCCGCATTTCCGCCAGGCCGCGTTACAGCGCGGTTCATCCGTCCAAGTTTTTTAAGGTCGGTTTATCCTCATTCCTCAGTGGTTTCTCCTCCTGTTCCCTCCATAAGTGGTTTTTATAAACACCGTGGATCTAACCCTGCTAATTTACATCCACTAACTCCAGCTGTTTCTGTAGTTTCTGATTCCTCCACCTCACTCAGAATGGCTCTATTAAACACCCGCTCTGTTAACAATAAGACCTTCCTGCTCAATGATTTAATTCTGTCTAAAAACCTGGATTTTCTGTTTCTGACTGAAGTTTGGCAGCAAACATCTGATTATTCTGGTCTGATTGAACTCTGCCCGAGTGATTATTCTTTTCTTAGCCAGCCCCGGGGTTCTGGTCGTGGTGGAGGCCTAGCTGTTGTTTTCAGAGACCATCTTCCATGTAGCTCTACAACCTCTGGTCACTTTGCTTCCTTTGAACTGCAGCTGATTAAAGTTGGGCGTAAGGACCCGTTCTACTGTGCGGTGGTCTATCGTCCACCTGGTCCAAACAGTTCTTTCCTTTAGGAGTTTAGTGACTTTCTACCCTGCCTTTTACATCAAAACTGCTTGAGAAAGTCGTTTATCAGCAGCTGGTCTCACATTTAGCTGACTCTGATCTGTTTGAGGTTTTTCAATCAGGGTTCAGGTCTGGCCATAGCACGGAGTCTGCTCTACTGAGGGTCTTAAATGATTTCTATCACTAGATCAGGGTACATCTGTGGCGCTTCTGTTGTTAGATCTGATGGCAGCCTTTGACACAGTCGACCACGCGATTCTACTCGATCGCTTGGAACGATGGGTTGGGATCAAAGGGTCAGCTCTGGATTGGTTTACATCATATCTCCACAACAGGACATTCTGTGTTAAACTGGGTGATGTATTTCTTCTTGGGAGGGGCTCCGCTGGGGGGTCCTGCAGGGATCGATCCTTGGTCCTCTTTTGTTTGCCATTTATCTGCTACCTCTGGGGTCAATCTTTCGTAAACATGGCCTATCATTCCATCTCTATGCTGACGATTGCCAGATTTACTCTCCATTGTGTCAGGAGAAAGGTCACTCTATTCAGTCCTTTGTGTCCTGTGTTAACGAGGTGAAGTGTTGGCTAATGGCCAACGTTCTGCATCTGAATGAGGGAAAGACAGAGCTCATTGTTTTTCACCCCAACAGCAGGAATGTGGGTCATTATGTTGATCTTGGCCCTCTTTCTCCCTACTCAAAACCAGTTGTTACCAGTTTGGGGGTGAAAACTGATGCTGGACTTAAATTTGATGCTCACATCAACTCTGTGATCCGGTCCAGTTTCTTTCACCTGAGACGCCTTGCAAAAATCAAGCCCATGCTGTCGAGAGCCCACCTGGAGCGGGTACTGCATGCCTTTGTAATTTCTAGGCTTGATTACTGCAACTCTCTCTGTGCAGGGTTGTGTCAGTCATCACTGCGTCGCCTACAGGTTGTGCAGAACAGCGCAGCCAGGTTCCTGACTGGGACCAGGAAACAGGACCACATCAGTTCGGTTCTGGCCTGCCTGCAATGGCTTCCAGGCTGTTATCGTTTACACTTCAAACTCCTCGTCTTTGTTTATAATTTCATCCAGGGTGGTGGTCCCCCCTATCTAGCCACACTCCTGAACAGACAATCCCCATCACGCGCTCTGCGCTCCTCTGACCAAGGCCTGCTCGCTGTCCCTCGTTCTAGGGTGTCGGACTCGTGGGGACCGGGCTTTCTCAGTCCTAGCACTGTCACTCCGGAACCAGTTGCCACACTCAGTTAGGCTGTCCCCATCTCTGCCAGTCTTCAAGAGTTGCCTAAAAACCCACCTCCTCCGCTTGGCGTTTCCTGAATGTGTTTGAATTTGGCCCTCTTGTATGTTGATTTTATTTCCCTGTTTTCATTGGTTCACTCTATCCCTTTTTTACCCACATGTCTTCTACTAGAATGTTTTACCTTTTTTTGTAATTTGTAATTTGAAAAGCTTTTATTTTAGATTTATTCAACCATATTTAACTTTCTCTTGTACCATGTTCAACGCCTTGGGCTTCCCGATAGTGTTGCGGAAGGCGCTTTATAAATAAAGCTTTGATTGATTGATTGATTTTATCCTCCACTGTGAAGCTGTCCAGACTGGTGATCGTTGGTGACTTTAACATCCACGTTGATGATCCCTCTGATCTCTTTGCCATGAATTTCTCCAGCCTTATGGACTCCTTCAGCTTTACCCAGCATGTTTCTGGCCCCACACACACCAGGGGGCACACTCTAGACCTTGTTTTTACCCTGAGTCTAAATGCTGACAGTGTTTGTCCTGAGGATGTTTATGTTTCAGATCACCATTGCATTTTCTTTAACTTGTCAGTTTCTGCGTCCCCACCTCCTGCTCGCCGTATGGTTAGTTCTCGTTTTCTTAATGAGAGCACAGCTAGCAATTTTTCTGCTGCTTTTGATCCACCCTGTTCATCTGATAACGACCCAGATTCCTTAACTTCTCAGTTTAACGAGCACTACCTCTCCATTCTGGACAACATCTGTCCTGTCAGAACCAGATCAGTTCCTGCAGTGAACCCTACTCCCTGGTTTAATGACAGCCTTCGCAGCCTGGAGCGCCAATGCAGAAAAATTGAGCGTTTGTGGAAGAAAACCCATCTCCACGTCCATCTGCTGCACCTAAAGGATCTTCTGACATCCTTTAACTCTGCAGTCAGAGACGCTAGGGTTTCCTATTTCTCCAACCTGGTGTCCCAGAGCAAAGGGAACCCCAAGGTGCTGTTTAACACCATCAGCAGCATCGACTCTCCTGCCTCTCCTACAGCCTCCATCCACTCTGTTGCAGACTGTGAGAACTTTCTGTCTTTCTTTGTGGACAAAGTCAATAAGGTTAGATCTAGCATCTCTCCTTCAGCCTTATCGCCGCCTCTCCCGACTCCAACCAGGCCCATCATCCTAGATAGCTTTGCTCCTGTTTCTTTGCCTGAGTTAAGCAAACTAGTGAACTCTATGAAGACCTCTGCATGCCCCCTCCACATCTTACCCTCATCTTTGTTTAAAAGTGCTTTTCAGTCCATCGGTCCCAGCGTGCTCTCTATAATTAATGCTTCTCTGGTCTCTGGTCAGGTCCCTGCTTACTTTAAGAACGCTGTAATCCACCCGCTTCTTAAAAAACCGAGTCTCGACCCCTCTCTCCATAGCAGCTTCAGACCCATCTCTAAACTTCCGTTCATCTCCAAGATCTTGGAAAAGGTTGTGGCTAAACAACTCACAGCTGCTCTTGATGAACATAACATCTATGATAGCTTCCAGTCAGGTTTTCGTAGAGCTCATTCTACTGAAACAGCTCTTCTTAGGGTCTCTAATGACCTTCTGACTCACAGTGATGCAGGGGACTGTTCTGTTCTGGTCCTGCTGGACCTGACTGCAGCCTTTGACACTGTTGACCATCACCTGCTACTGGAGAGGCTGAGAGACTGGGTAGGCCTATCAGGATCTGCTCTGGAGTGGTTCTCCTCTTATCTCTCTGAGCGCTCCTTTTCTGTGGCCGTCTCCAAGTTTGGGTCCTCCACCACCTCCCTTACCCATGGTGTCCCACAAGGTTCTGTGCTGGGGCCTCTGCTCTTCCTCCTCTATCTGCTTCCTCTTCAGCACATCCTGAGCTCCTTCAAAGGAATCTCCTACCATCTTTATGCAGATGACATCCAACTGTACATCTCCTTTAAGCCCATGAGATGTCTAAGCTGCAGCTGTTACACACCTGCTTAGACTCTATCAAAACCTGGACGGTGGGAGCTTTCTACAGCTGAATGAAGATGAGACTGAGATCCTCATCTGTGCCCCAGACAAGCTGGTTCCCAAAGTCAGAGACTCTCTATGTCAGCTTGCTTCTCACACCAAACCTTCTGTCAGGAATCTTGGCGTGACCTTTGACCCAGCTCTCACCCTGGATTCTCATGTCAGTTCTCTTGTTGGCTCTTCCTTCTTCCATCTCAGGAACGTTGCTAAGCTGAGTCCCATTCTGTCCCGCTCTGAACTTGAGACAGTTCTCCACACCTTCATCTCCTCACGCTTAGACTACTGTAACTCTCTTTTCACGTGTCTGAGCAGAACCTCCCTGAACCGCCTACAGGTGGTTCAGAACGCCTGTGCTCGGCTTCTGACCAAGTCCTCCAAACACACCCACATCACCCCGCTTCTCCTCCAGCTTCACTGGCTGCCAGTCAACTTCAGGGTTCATTTCAAGATCCTGGTTCTGGTCTATAGGGCCTTACATGGACAAGCACCATCTTACATTGGTGATCTTCTTAGTCCCTACACCCCCAGCAGGTCCCTGAGGTCCAGTAATCAAAGCCTACTGGTTGTGCAGCACCAGGCTAAAGGTCAAAGGTGACAGATCATCTGCTGCTGTGGCCCCCAGACTCTGGACCTCTCTCCCCCTGAGCCTGAGATCAGTGGACTCAGTGGTCTCCTTTAAAAAGCAGCTGAAGACTCACTTGTTCAAGCTGGCTTTTGTATGACCTTCTTCACCTCTCTCTCTTTATTCTGCTCTCCCCACCTATTCCACCTTCCTCAGGATCCACTGATTTCCCTCTTTCCTGTTCACTCTCTCCCTTTCTTAACATGTTTTTAATCACAATTGTCTATTTTTGCTCATTTTAAATATATTTTTAAACATTTTCTAAACACTTTTTAATATTTTTACATTTTTTGTTTTTGTGAAGCGCCTCGTGATTTTTGTCTTGAGAGGCGCTACAGAAATATTTTCTTCTTCTTCTTCTTCATGCGGTCGCCACCTCTAAACCCACGTTTCCCGTCATTTCCATACACGTTTGCTCCACATTTTGTACTCCTTCAGTCACGGGTGAATAAACGTTCATATTGTCTGAATTTTTGTGCGATGCGTTCTTCTACTATCTGTTCTGGGTCTGCTGCTAAATTTCTGTTTCCGTTTTAACAGGGCAACGGCAGTCCTGGTGACAAATTTACCAGAAGCGGCGTCCTGACCAACCACAAGCTTGCGGTCTTTGTCACTTTTGGCAAATGTTTAAAATTTTGGGCATGTCTCCGTCACCCTCTGAGAGCCCGTCAGAGAGCTCTTGCGCCGACGCATAATGGCGTTGCGTGTCTACACCGACGCAGATGCATGAATCAGGCTTTACGGACCAAGCTCACACTCCTCTCGTACAGGGACTGAATGACACTTAGCAAAAGGCCATCCACCCCATACTCCTGGGGCGCCCCCCAAAGGGTGCTACTGGATGAAAACCACACTGCCCCTCTTCTATCCGAGGTTGAACCATTGACCAGACCCTCCTCTTTGGAGGAGTGTGATCCCCCTATAGTTAGAGCACACCCTCTGGTCATGGGAGTAGTTTGGTGAGGACATAGAAGAAGATTGTCGATCGGCTTCAAGTAAGTTCTGGCAAACCGTCGGGCGCTTCAGGCGAGGAAGGCAGGAACTTGCCCACACTGTTTTCAGTATAAATGGATCATGGAAGAAATACTTCGAGGAGCTCCTCATTCCCACCGACATGCATTCCACGGAGGAAGCAGAGCTGGGAGGCCTGGGAGTGGACGGTCCGATCTCTGGGGCAGAAGTTGATGAAGTAGACAAACAACTACACAGCAGCGAAGACCTGGAGGTGGATGAGATCCACCATGAGTATCTCAAGGCTACAGATGTTGTAGGACTGTTGTGGTTGACACGTCTTTGCAACATTGCGTGGTCATGGGAGGCAGTTCCTGTGGAAAGGCAGACCTGGGTGGTGTTCTCCTTTAAGAACAGGGACCAGAGGATGTGCTCCTGAAAGACTCCAGAACGAGAACCAGATCTGGAACCAAACATTAACAACCGAGTTTTTAGAAGAAATTCACCTGAAGCTGAATGAAGTTGTAGAAGGTGGGCGTGAGGTTCGGAGCTCCACAGATGTACCGGATTGTGTTCAGAAGCAGGAACGCCACCTACAGGACGGAAGATGACTGACATTCAGACAGCAACCTCAATACACATGTGGTTCTAAAAAGGTTCCAGCTCACCAAGACAACGGGAAAGACTCGCTTAGAGATGATAAACTGGACCGTAAACCTCTCATTATCCAGCACAGAGACAGGCCGGGTCAGTGCCAGCTCCAGACTGTTCCTGTTGGAAAAAACAAAACACTGCCTGAACCCAACAGAACAGCTGGGCTCATCTACCTGATACATCTGGACCAGACCAACATTACTCCAATCATCACTACACTAAATCATCTACAGGACTGAGATCTGGTCTGCAGAGAACAGGAGTCCCAGGTTCCCTACCGGACGTGGTCCAGCACTGGGGTTTGGACCACCCTGAAGAGACGGTGCTGATGGGGGTTCTGGGGTCCTCTGTTCTTGGTCCGAGGGGAAGGTGGAGGGGAGAAGGGGGGGAATAAATCCCCTGGTTCTAAAACAATGTGCTCATCATCCTGAAATGGGAAAAAGGTCCAACTCAGTCCCAAAAGATCAGGATTCTAATGATGATCAGCCCCTCAGGCTGTGAGACCCTGGGTCGGTTTGAGAACAGCCTCACCTTGATGCCTCTGAGAGAAGCAAAGGCCTCCTGTCCAGGTCTCAGGGCGATGATGTCCCCCTCAACCAGCAGACTGACAGGTAGGTTGACCAGCTGGGAATCACGATAGGTCCAGTGAAGAGACCAGGATGGAGATGAGGGAGTGAACAGGTCTGGGTAAAGAGATGGAGGCCATCGCACTTCACCCACAGCCCCTGACAGGTAGTCTAGATGGGCAAGAGCAGTTTGATAATACTGACCAATCAGAATAGTCCTACAAGGTCTAAACATGTGGCTCTGGACAACTGCTGGTATGAGCTCTAACTACAAGAAGTGGATCCACAGGACAAATTAAGGGGCTCGACACACGGGAGGCGACAAACGATCGCAATCAGCGAAATTTGTCGCTGTCGCATTTATGACCTGACACACGGGAGGCGACCCGCGGCAGCGGCAAAGCCGTCTACGCGTTCTGTTCCATGGCGAAATCAAAACTTCCGTTGTTTTGATTGGCTGTGTCAGGTTGGAGGGAATTAAGGTTATTTAAGCGGTTCAGAGTTAATAAAGCGGTAGATATGATGTTTCACAAGGTGCTGCTAGAGTTATGTGAAATCTTACTTCTGATTTTACTATAAAACATAATAATAATCAACTTCTCCTCCATGTTTGCTCGGAGACGTACGGATCATCCTGTCCTCTCATTGGTCAGTGAATGAAACCTCCGTTGATTGGTCCTCGTCCGAGCGACAGCGATGAAAAGTTGAAAATATTTAAAATTTTTGGGATCGCGTCGCTGGGTCGCCTGTGCACGACACGTGCACGAGCGCAAAATTTCACAAGCACGTTTTTCGCGTTTCACTTAGTAGGAGGGAGACCCGCGATTATCGCTTTGTTGCGCATGTCTCATAGAAAATGAATGGAGGAGAGGCGAAGTCGCTTCCCGTGTGTCGAGCCCATTAAGCAGCACAAACTCTTCAGTCTGCATAATCAAACAAGAGACAGCGAGTGGTTACGAACAAGCTACCAAGTCTGGTTTAGACTTGCTGCTGGACCTACCATCTAAGTACCCTACACCTGAGAGCCAGACATCCCCACCCACCACTCAGCTGTGTGATGATGCCGTTGAGGCGCCGCACCATCTCACTCCTCTTCAGCCTCTCCTGACGACTCACCAGCAGCAGGTTCAACAGGAGGAGGAGCAGCAGAGCTGCAGCATTCACCAGCTCTATGCCAGAACTATGGAGGTTAAAGAAAACAACAAGTCACGAGTTAACTACAGCATACTCAACCATCACATCGCTCTGATGTCCTTCTACTAGAGGACTCCTAGATGCTTATAAAAAATGCATGACCAGAGACGATGATGTACCCTAACCCCGAGCCATTTACACATAGGCGTCAGAAACATTATGTCAGAAGAGGACGTGCCCCCCCCCCCCCCCCCCCCCCCCCACACACACACTTTTTAAAATGACGCATTCTCAAGCTAAATGACGGGACATGTGTGAAAGCCTGTGTGTTCATTGTGTGCGACATTAATGACTTAATGAGCTGTTGACACAGATATGACTGTATTATTATTAATAATGATTGTGGATGTTTCTGTTCAACATCAGGTCCTGAGACCCAAACTAGGTCCGTATAACCGACGTTTCCCCGTCGACAGTACTCCTTACTCTACGCTGCAGCAGCCTCTCCAAAGTTTGATAAAATTCATGCCGTTGGCCTAAACTGAAAAAATGATATCAACCACATATTACTGTGCATTACTTTATTTGAGAATTTATTAAGCTGAACACATCCCAGCCCAGTGTTTTTTACCACAGTGAATGTTGTCACAGTCTGGGTAATGAAATATTAGTTTTTCCGCGTACCCCACTTACAGACCACTAGGGGTGTGCGTACCCCTGGTTGGGAATCACTGGTGTACAGGACCCACTGGTCTACAGAACCGTGTCACCAAAGGGGCAGAAGTAACAGTGTCTGTTTTACTTTATTTCCCTCACAAGATGAAAGTGTTTTGTTTTATACTGGATGCAGAGTAAAGCAACAGTTCGCTGCCTGCTCCTTCTACAGCAGTGTTGGCCTAAAGCCTGAGTTATGCTTCTCCGTCTGCGTCAGTGCGGAGACACGCAACGCCATTATCCGTCCTTGCGTAGGGCACGCAAGTACGTACAGAGTCGAGCCCACTTTTTTAAACGTCCGTCGAACGAGACGGATTACGCAAGCTTGTGATTGGTCAGGACGCCGCTGTTGTTTACAGCGCCGCCATTGCAAAGAGAGCCGAGGATAACTAGCGGCAGACACGGAGAAGCTTGAAGAATACCTCGCGAAAAAACTCTAAAAATATGAACGTTTCATTCTCCCGTGACTGGAGGAGTGAAAAGATGCGCAGCAAGCGTTTTATTTGTGGACGGAAATAACAGGAAACGTGGGTTTACAGGTGGGGAGCGCATGAAGCGGTGGGAGAATGAGAGACAAATATGTCCGTGTTAAAAGTCTCTTATAAACACAAAAACACAATATAAACAAACGATCTTGGACCGATACATGACAGGATACCACAGAACAGCGCTACGCCCTCTGTGGTCCTGCCGGGGAATTGCTTTGCAACACTCTCCAGGAGACGGAGAAGTATGAGAGCAAAACGCTTCCGTCAATCCGTGCGTGTCTGTCCCTGTTGGAGCTGACGGAGAAGCATAAACCAGGCGTAACACTGAAGTTAGGCTGATCAGGTCTAAAGTACCCCCCGAAGGCCTGGACTGAGTGGGTCAGATAATAACAGTACCTGCCCCAAGGCTGGCTGCCATGGCAACAGATGAGTCCCATAACCACCAGAAGTGTGAAAACAGCTTCTAGCCAGTGAAGACAGGAGTGGCGATTCCCATGGTGCAGGATGTCCCGGAGGCTATTCACCCACACTTGCTGTTAAAGCACAACAACAACAGGAAGCAGAGCGTAGTGGGAAACAGGAGCCAATGAAGAAGAACAGGTGAGGAACAACCATTCGTGTTTCAGAATGGCTCCCTCTGCTCATGTTAAACAGTCCAAACATTTATTTAAGCACTAGGGCAGGGGTCGTCCACTCCTTTCCCTGAGAACCGCTATCCAGCATGTTTTAGTTGTACCCGGTTCAGCAGCTCATCACACTCCACAGAAGCCTGTTAATTACCTGCTGAATCAGGTGTGTTGACCGAGGGAAACAACTAAGAAATGCTGGTTGCCGGCCCCCGGGGAAGAAAGTTGAGAACCCCTGCAATAAGAAGAGCTAAGAGAAGGGGTCCATTGCAGACACGAAGTTACAGCCAAACAATATCCAACAACGCCTGTGGTTTAAGAGAATAACTTTCAGTATTAGCATGATCTACCACAACCACATGGATCTGTTGGACCTGAACGAAGCCACCACTGCCTGGCCAAAAACAGTCACACCCAAAAACACAAGTCACACTCTATGCTTGTGTTGGACCACCTTTAGCTTTGGTTATGGCACATATTTGCTGTGGCAGTGTGGCATTGTATTGAAAAGCTTTTGCAGTGTCATCAGAACTATCTCCATCTGGTGTTGCATTAATGTTTCACCAAGATCTTGCATTGATTATGAAAGAGTCTGACTGCTGCACAAAGCCTTCTCCAGCACATCCCAAAGATTCTCAATGAGGTTAAGATGTGGACTCTGTGGTGGCCGATCCATGTGTGAAAACGATGTCTAATGATCCCCGAAATAAATCTATTGATGGAATAACCGGGCCATTCAGTAAGTTCAGGAAGTCAGCTGACCTCAATCTGGGAGCGCATCCTGTTGCTGAACCTAGACCTGACCACCTGCAGCAAGCCAGATCATAGCACTGCCTCCACAGGCTTGTACTTACTCTTTTTGTAAGAGGGGCTAATTCATGGAATGGTTTGGATGAAGTTAAAACAGATTGATACAGTAAAAACATTTTAAAAAGACGTACTGCGCTGCTCTGGGTGGCTGCATGTTGGAGTAGCTCTGTTGACTATATGCAAGTTTTGCCTTTTCTTGGACATTTTTTCTTCTGGTTTCTCGGGATAAATGTTTTTTTTTTTTTTGGACATTTAACTTTTCTGTTTCTGGTGCTCTGAAGCTTAGAGGATTTTTACTGCTATTTTTTAACTTTTTGAGCATTTGTTATGATGCGTAACCATGGCAACAAGCTGGTTTACAATCGGGAGCAGCTGATTAACATTGGAAAGGCTGAAATAATACCTCAACTGAAGCCACAAATCCCAAATGAGCTAAAACGCAAGAAGCGTGGGAGCAGAGCGGGAACAAAACGGAGACAGAGAAAGAGGAAATTCTAACCATCTCTTCCATCGATCATAACGGACAATGTGAGATCAATGGCCAACAAGATGGATGAACTCCAAGCCCTTTCAAGGACTCAGCCAGAGTATCGGCAGTGCAGTGTTATGTGTTGCACTGAGACGTGGCTGCAGGACCATATCCCCGATTCCAGCATCTCTCTGCCAGGATTCCTGACTGTACGAGCAGACAGAGATCTAAAGAGGAGAGGTGGAGTGGCAGTGCTTGCCAATAACAGATGGTGCCATCCAGGTCATGTTTCAGTGAAATGTCGTCTCTGCAGCCCAGATGTTGAACTCTTGGCAGTAAGCTGTCGCCCATATTATTTGCCAAGAGAGTTCACCAGTGTTGCAGCTCTGTGGGATTCTGCAGCACCTCTTCAACCTCAGCCTGGCCCAGGAGAAGGTTCCAGTCCTGTGGAAGACATCCTGCCTTGTTCCAGTTCCAAAGAAAACTCGCCCATCAGTCAGTGACGACTACAGACCGGTTGCCCTGACATCCCACATCATGAAGGTCCTGGAGAGACTCCTGTTGGTCCACCTGAATAAGCAAACTAGAACATTTCAGGACCTGCTGCAGTTTGCTTATCACCATGGAGTTGGAGTTGAAGATGCCATCATCCAGCTGCTTCAACCAACCCACTGTCCTCTGGACAAAGCAGGAAGCACTGTCAGGGTCATGTTCTTTGATTTCTCCAGTGCATTTAACACAATCCAGCCTGATGTACTTTGCCAGAAACTCCAGAAGACACAGGTGGGAGCCTCAACTATCGCCTGGATTAAAGACTACCTGACAAACAGACCACAGTTTGTGAGGCTGAAGAACTGCACATCAAACCAGGCGATCAGTAACATTGGAGCACCACAGGGGACTGTACTCTCACCATTCCTTTTCACCCTGTACATCTCAGACTTCCAGTACAAATCAGAGACCTGTCATCTACAGAAATACTCAGATGACTCTGCAGTTGTCGGGTGTATCAGAGATGGACAGGAAGCTGAGTACCGAGAGCTGGTGGAGCGCTTTGTGGCATGGTGTGGAAACAATCATCTGACCATGAACGTAAACAAAACAAAGGAGATGATTTTAGACTTCAGAAGAAACAGGTTGAAGCCAAACACTGTTTCCATCATTGTCACGGTCTGAGGTGTGTTTCTGCTGTCACTCTCTGTCTCTGAGCTTGCCCTCTGCAGGTGGGCGTGTCTGGAGGTTTACCAAGCTGCTGCAGATCTGCTCATCAGCCGGCCAGATGTATTTAAGCAGCTGAGAGACATCTACACTTTGCTGGATGATTACTCTACCTGGGTACCTTCTGACAGCCACCCTTTACATTCGAGCTCTTGAACTAATTTAATTTTGAGATTTTGACCTATATTTGGATTTTTGGATTTGACTTTGCCTTTGACCTCCTGCTCTATTTCCAGGCCTCATTCTCATTGCTCATTCTCAACTGAATACCTTGGACTACCGACCTGTTGTCTCTCAGCGCCCCCCCCCCCCCCCCCCCCCCCAGGCTCTTCCACCTCCAGCACCCCAGCTTCACTCCTCTAGATCCGAACCCGCTCAGCCTATCCACTAGCTCAGCTCCCTCCTCGCCTGTGGACACACCTTACCCCAGACTCTCCCCTCCCCACGAGCCTGCCTCCACACCAAACTGTAAGTCCACACCAACCCAGATTACTCCATGCACCCCCCCCCCCACCCCCCCCCACCCCCCCACCCCCCTTTGGTTCTAACTCTCTCCTCCGTCTCCAGACTTCCCCACGTACCGGAATCAACCAACGGGATCAGCTCACTTTATGCTACAACCTCAGTTTCTTCTATAATAAATACTTTTACCACTACTCTGACTCAGTCCTGATTCTGCATGTCGTGGGTTAGACGCCTGAACCCCAACATGACAGAATCATCCAGCCAATCCTCTAACCTCAGTACAGAATCAGTCCCCTCTGTCGTTTCCACCACCCTAGCTCAGCACAGTAATTTGCTCCAAGCTCTGTCCGATCAACTCTCCCACACTAACCATACTTTGTTTGAATTAGGAACTATGGTGAAGGAGTTAAGCAACAGACTCACCTCCCCGGAGCAAGCCTCATCCCCAGCCCGGAGTTTGCCCGGACTCGTTTTCCCTGCACCATCCGTTCTAGCCAGTTTCCGGGTCGCTACCTCTCCTCCGCCGGAGACATTTGACGGCGATCGGGAGGTTTGTCGAGGTTTTCTCCTCCAATGCCAGTTGGCCTTCCAACGATCTCCGGAGTCCTTTTCCATCGAAGAAGCTAGAATCTCCTACATCATCAGGTTTCTACGCGGCAAGGCACTCCGGTGGGCGGAGGCAAAAAGCCGGAACCCGAGCTTCCTCAACAGCTCGTTAGATGAGTTTCTGGCTGATTTTAAAATTACTTTTGACAAACCCGAGTCAGCGGCAGAAGTGGCCAGAAAGATCTGTAGCTTACGCCAGGGAAGGCTCTCAATCGCTGATTTTGCCATAGAGTTTTGGACCCTAGCCGCCACCTCCACCCTCGATGAAGCCTCACTTAAGGGGGCGTTCACCCAGGCTCTTAACGAGCAGCTTCAGGATCAACTAGCTTTCTGCCAAGAACCCCCGGATCTTGAGAGTCTCATCGCACTTTGCGTCAGGATGGAGAGAAGACATAAGGCACGCCAAAGAGGTAACAATTTCCCCTTACCTTCTCGTCTTAACCACCCGCCTAATGAGACTTCAGCGGCTCCAGCTCCGCTCCCCAGTGAGCCCATGCAGATCGGTCGAGCTAAGCTAACTCAAGAGGAGAGAAACAAGCGCATGAGTTCAGGAGCGTGCTTGTATTGTGGCATGTCGGGGCATTTTGTGGCTAACTGTCCCAAGCAGTTAAACTCCAGGACCCATCAGTAGCCCCGAGAGTGCTAGTGGGTGGGTCTCGGTCAGATTTAAACTCTCGGTGTGTGTTGGACTGTTCTCTGTCTCATAATCAAATTACTCTTCCCTCTCTGGCATTAACTGACTCCGGAAGCTAAGAGACTCAACCCACGTCAATCCAGGTGGTCCCTTTTTTTTTCTCGGTTTCACTTTATCATTTCTTACAGACCTGGCAACAAGAACACCAAGCCCGACGCTCTCTCACGACAGTTCTCGGTGAATTCGGACCCCGAGCCCACCACCATCATACCACCAGATTGTGTCCTGGAAGCCGTTACCTGGGAGATTCGGGATCAGGTGCTCGAGGCTCAAAAGAACCACCCCTGCCCCAACCAGGTACCCAACCGCACCCCGTTTGTTCCTCCATCTGTCAGACATAAGGTGATTAACTGGGCCCACACTGCCAAGTTCTCTGTCCACCCTGGTGTCAGCCGTACTGTAGCCTTAATCCGAAGGTTTTTCTGGTGGCCGACTATGTTTAAAGAAGTCAAGGAGTATATTTCCGCCTGCCGAACCTGCAACAAGGGGAGTAACCAGCCCCCTTGTGGACTATTACATCCGCTACCTATTCTCTCCAGGCCCTGGTCCCATATTGCACTGGACTTTGTCTCCGGTCTTCCCCCCTCTCGAGGCTTTACAGTTATTTTAACCGTTATTGATCGGTTTTCCAAGGCCTGCCACCTA